AGGCTAATGTTTTTATATTTGTGGTAACTACTGTTATGAGGGACTTACTCTGCCATTTTGCTATGTGTTTCTATATACCTTATATCTTTTTATTTCTGATTTCCTGCATTACCATCACCTTTTGTGTTTAGTTCATTTTTTGTAGTGAAACATTTTCATTTCCCTCCCATTTTCTTTTATATATATATATAATAAGAATTTTCTTTTTTTTTAATTTTTTTTTTAGATTTTATTTATTTGAGAGAGAGAGACAGAGATAGTGAGAGAGAGAGCACAAGTGGGGAGGAGAGGGAGAAGCAGGCTCCCCACAGAGCAGGGAGCCCAATGCAGGACTCAATCTCAGGACTCTGGGATCATGACCTGAGTCGAAGGCAGACGCTTAACCGAATTTTTTTTTTGGTTACCATTGGGATTATGTTTAACATCCTAAACTAATAACACTCTCATTTGAATTTATACTACCTTAAGTACAATAATGTACAAAATCTCTGCTTCTGTATACCTCCATCCTCATCCCTTTTCAGTTATTGTCATAAATTGCATCATTATACATTGTGTGCCTTATTTGCATTTGTCTTTTAAATCATGTGGAAAATAAAAAGTGGAGTTAAAAGACAAATTTACAATAATACTGGTTTTTATATTGACCATGCATTTACTCTTACCAGAGATCTTTATTTTGTATCACTTTGCCTTGCGTCCTTTCATTTCAACTTGAAGGACTCTCTTTAGTAATTCTTGCAAGGCAGGTCTAATAGTCATAAACCCCCTCAGCATCGGAATGTCTTAATGTCTTAATTTCTTTATCATTTTTGAGGGATGGTTTACCAAATAGAGAATTCTCTTTTTAGAGTTTTTTTCTTTTAGGACTTTGACTATATCAGCTCGATACTTTCTGGCCTCCAAAGTCTCTGATGAGACATCTGATAATCTTATTGAAGACCCTTATATGTTATGAGTCTTGCTTCTCTCTTGCTGCTTTCAATATTCTCATTTTGGCTTTGGGTTTTGACAGTTTGGTGATAATGTGTCTCAGTCTTGGTCTCTTTGACTTTATCCTTTTTGGAGTTCATTACACTTCATAAATTTGTAGATTCATATCTCACATCAAATTTGGGAAGTTTTCAGCCATTGTCTTCAAATGATCTCTGCCCCTTTTCCTTTTCCCTTTCAGGATTTCCACAATGCTATTATGGTTCACTTGATGGTGTCCCACAGGTCTCTTAGGCTCTGTTCACTTTCTTCAGTATTTTTTGTTGTTGTTCTTCCTCAGACTCAGTAATTTTAATGGCCTGTCTTCAAGTACACTGATTCTTCTGCTTGCTGAAATCTGATTTTTTAATCTCTCTAGTGAAATTTTCAGTTACTGCAGTTTTCAACTCCAGAATTTCATTTTGGTTTTTTTCTGTATTTTCTATCTCTTATTGATATTTTCATTTTTAAAATCATTTTCATGACCTTTACCCATATCTTTCTTTAGCTGTCCTGAGCATCTTGAAAAGTGCTGTTTAAATGTTTTTGTGTAGTATGCCCACCATCTTCTCTTCCTCATAGATGTTTTTGTCTATTTATTTTGTCACTTTGAATGAGTCATATCTTTTTTTTTTAAGTGCCTTGTGATTTTTTTTGTTGCAAACTAGACATTTGAATTTTATAATCTCCTAAGTCTGGGAATTAGATTCTCCCCCTTCCCCAGAGTGATTTCCTTCTCATATATTTCCTCCTTTTCACAAGGAGAAGGCTAGCTTAATTACTTGATAAAGCCTCTTCCAGGCCTGAATCTCCTGACTATGACTTATTGTAGTGTCTGAACACTTTCATGTCACAGTAGCAAGGAGCATTAGAGAACAGCCTCAATTTTTAGCTGATAGAGAATCAGTTGAAATATTTATCAAATTTTAGTTTTAGGAAAAAATTGGTTTGATTTCCAGCTTTATTACTATTAGGTATTTCAGTTTGGGTAAATTGCTTAATCTTTGAGTCTAGTTTTCTCATGAAATGAAAATATTATGCTAAGCAATTCCCAAGTTTCCAGCTAGTCCTAGAGTTCTGTATTTCTACGTAATTGAATAATTTTATCATGCTGTTGATGGGGAATATGACTAATACTATTGAAGCTACTAATTTTATGTCGTGTTTTAAAGTCCATAATTGTTATCTTTGGAAAATATTATTTGACCTACGGTATGTCCAAGTCAATTCAGTAAAATCACTTTATAACAGGGAAAAATGGTAGTTGTATATATGAATACATATATTTTTATATAGAACTGATTTTTTTGTTGTTGTCAGATGTCTTTGTGCCATGGACTGGCCTGAGATATAAACTAAAGGTTTTCTCATGTCTCTTCCAAGCCTTTGTCTTTCCCTTGGCATGTATGGTGACTTTCTAAATTTCCCATGTATGTGGTTACTTTTGAATGTCCTTGTACTTAAATATGTGGTTCCCCAATGTGGGAAAAAGGCAAAATTTGAGTGTGAGAGGGTAGAGGGAAGACAGGATCTGTCCCTTAAATCCCCTGGCAGCTGCTTCCGCCAGTGGGGCAACAATGGCAGGTCCATGCCCCCAAGCAATAATCCTCAGTCAGAACCCAGATCTACAATTGAACAGCAAGGCTCTTGTCACGCTAGCTCCTGCAAGCCACCTAAGATATGTCAGTACAGCTGCCTGCCATGGGGTTGGGGCCTGGGGCATGGGTGGCTGCTAGTGACTGAAATTACCTATAATTTATCAACCAGGCTTTCCCCTAGAAGCTGCCAGCCTTCAAGTAGATTCTACAGTTTCAAAATTATTGGAGCAGCCAGATTCTGCCAGTTCAATTGTCTAGGTGGGGAAACAGAATCCTGGAGCTTCCTACTCTGCTATCTTCCTTGATATATCTACTTTTTCCTCTCTTAACTCACATTTATTTTACAAGTTTTGGCATTTTCCTTCTTCTTTCTCAAGTAATGTCGAAGATAAAGATTTGGATAGAAGTCTCACAGTTAGCTGGGTGGGGGATGGTCTAAGTGGGTGATGGGTGGGCACTTGTTATGATGAGCACTGGGTGTTATATGTAAGTGAAGAATCACGAAATTCTACTCCTGAAACCAATATTACACTATATGTTAACTGACTAGAATTTAAATAAAAATTTCAATAAATAAACAAACAAAAAAAGAAGTCTCACAGTTATGAAGTTATTTCTTATCATTTGGGGAAGTAATTTTGATAGTTTGCTTACTATCCACCTAACATTGTCTTTAGTTACCCAGAAGACTTTGGTATTTACTATTTAAACATAAGTTTTATAATTCTGTAGGTATTCTAATTTCTACTTAGAAAGTATTTTTTTTTAAGTGAAAGTTGTTTTTAAAGATCTTTTCCTTTGTAATATTGATATGTTTAAATTCATGTGCAGAAACCTTTTCAAATTGCAAGTCTCTTATTAGATATGATCTTTAAGAGGAAAAAAGATTAACCTTTTAGAGTTAAGAGTGAGATAACTCACTCTTATTGCAAGGAATGACAGAAAATGGAAAATTTAATTTTTAGTTTTATTATGAAAACTTTAAGCATATATATATCTATGCATATTTGAAACATTTTGGATTGTCACAGCTTGAGGAAGGGTGTGAGTGGTGGAAAGCATAGGTGGTAATACACAGGGCAGCCCTACAGCAAAGAATTATCTGTCCTCAAATGTAAGCTGAGGTTAAAAAATCCTGACCTCTATACAGGACTTAAAATATCTTTACATATTTTCTTTAAAATATCTTTATATTTTTATAACATTGAGTTGTTCTATCCAAGAATAGGAGAGGTTGTTCCATTGTCCAAGTGTACTTTAATGTCATTCAAGACTGTTTTAAAATTTTCCTTATATTACTTTTTTTATGTTTCTTGTAAATTCATTCCTCCAATTCTTTGCTAGTGTCAATGAAGGTTATTGACTTTAGTAGTTAATTTCATATCCTGCTACATCACTGATCAAGTTTTATCATTGATTTTCTGGAGTTATGCAGGTAGGGTATTATAACACCAGCAAATAGAGGTTTTATTTCCTCATTTCCTCTTTACTCATCCTTGTGCATCTAATTGGTTTTTCTTATGTAACTGAATTGATTAAGACATCTAGTAGAATGTTGAATAGAAGTGAAAATAATGGGCATCCTTGTCTTGTTCTTTTTTTTTTTTTTAAGATTTTATTTTTAAGTAATCTTTATCGCCAATGTGGTGCTCAAACTCAAAAACCCAAGATCAAGAGTCACACGCTCTACCTACTGAGCCAGCCAGGTGCCCCTTGTTCTTGATCATAGTGGATATGCCTCTAGTCTTTCTTCATTAAATAGGTTTTAGGACTGAACTATATGTATTTTAGCATATTGAGGAAGTATCCCTCAATTCCTATTTTCTTGAATGTTTTTACTATTAGTGGTGCTGAATTTTTTTGAAGGCTTTCTCATTGTCTCTAAATATACTCATAATTTTTCCCCTTAGGTACCTACATTATAATATACCTTAGTAAGTGGTATAATAAGGGGAATGGATTGTTGGAGCTGGATTCATGAAAGAGTACACAGAGCAATTAACACTGGAACTGAGTCTGAAGGCTACAGAGAAGTTTGGTGTGTAGAAAAAGGAGGAATGACATTCAACATTAGAAATAATTACATAAATGAGAACAATGTCGTATAAATAAAGTATAAGTCTGTCATAGGCTTTGGATACCAGACTGTGCTTAATTCATACCCTCCTAATCCTGTCTCCCCATTCATTCTCCTGGTCACTCATACACTTTTGCCTTCCTTAAATTAGCTTCCTTTATTCTTTTAGTCACCCTAGTCCTTCTGCCCTCATCCATTATTGTTTTATATGTGTTACTTTCCTATTTATTCCTCTTGCTAGTATCTATTAGCCAGAAAGCAAGCCCTTATTTAAATATCATTAATATATATTCTTTCTACACATTAAGTCTCAGCCAATCATGTGAATCATTAGTGATTTTTTTTCCCCCCAGGATGTAAGAGCAGTCCTAAAACTACAAAGTCAACTCAAACCCAAGATTCATCATTTCAGGGGCTTAGAAGGAAAAGACTCAAAAGGGATGAACCCTGGAATTTCATATCAGAAAAACCCTGCATATATGAAGACAGATTAAAGAAACAAAAGGACAAAAAAGAAAGTTTACAAATAATTTCAATCACCCATACAAAAATCCTCACTGTAGAAAGAAGCCATAAAAATACTGACTTTGGCCAAAATTTCAGCCTGAACTCAGTCTTTGTTAAGCAACAGAGGGTTGCTAGGGAAAAAACACCCTCAAAATATGAAATACAAAGAAATAGTTTCAAGCAGAATTCAAACTTACTTAACCAACCAAAAATCAAAACAGCAGAGAAGCGGTATAAATGTAATATATGTGAAAAAGCCTTCATTCACAATTCTTCCCTTCGTAAACATCAGAAAAACCACACTGGAGAGAAATTATTTAAATGTAAAGAATGTTTGAAAGCTTTCAGCCAAAGTTCAGCTCTTATTCAGCATCAAAGAACTCATACTGGAGAGAAACCCTACATCTGTAAAGAATGTGGGAAAGCTTTCAGTCATAGTGCATCCCTTTGTAAACATCTAAGAATCCACACTGTGGAGAAATCCTATAGATGTAAAGAATGTGGTAAATCCTTCAGCAGAAGGTCTGGCCTTTTTATACATCAAAAAATCCACGCTCGAGAAAATCCCCATAGATATAACCCAGGTAGGAAGGCATCCAGCACATCCCTTCCCGGGTGTCAGAGAATTCATCTCCGAAAGAAGTCCTATTTATGTAATGAATGTGGCAACACCTTTAAGTCTAGCTCATCCCTTCGTTATCATCAGAGGATTCACACGGGAGAGAAACCTTTCAAGTGCAGTGAATGTGGGAGAGCCTTCAGCCAGAGTGCGTCTCTTATCCAGCACGAAAGAATTCACACCGGAGAAAAGCCCTATCGATGTAACGAATGTGGAAAAGGTTTTACTTCTATTTCAAGACTTAATAGACACCGGATAATTCATACTGGTGAGAAACTGTATAACTGTAACGAATGTGGCAAAGCCTTAAGTTCTCACTCAACGCTTATCATTCATGAAAGAATTCACACTGGAGAGAAACCGTGTAAATGTAAAGTGTGTGGGAAAGCCTTCCGACAGAGTTCAGCTCTCATTCAACATCAGAGGATGCACACTGGAGAAAGACCCTATAAATGCAACCAGTGTGGGAAAACATTCAGGTGTAACTCATCTCTTAGTAATCATCAGAGAATTCACACAGGAGAGAAACCATATCGATGTCTGGAATGTGGGATATCTTTCGGCCAAAGTGCAGCTCTTATTCAGCATCAAAGGATTCATACAGGAGAAAAACCCTTTGAATGTAACACATGTGGGAAAACTTTTAGACAAAGCTCATCACTTATTGCCCATCAGAGAATTCATACTGGAGAGAAACCATATGAATGTAATGCATGTGGGAAACTATTCAGCCAGAGGTCATCACTTACTAATCATTATAAAATCCACATTGAAGAGGATTCCTTGAAAGTAGATTTGCATGTGTGAAAGCCTTAAACCAAAGCCCAGCAGAGTATACATACATGAGATTGATTTAATAAATGTTATGAACATGAGAAAACTTTTCAATTTTAATTTTGTTTCATCAGATATTAAATTCTAAGGATAAAAAGCTCTATGTGATAAATATGTGGAAAACTTTCATACCTGTCAGTCACTTTTTAAAATATCCCAAGACAAGGAAATCACAATTGTAATTTGATTGCAAAATCACAATTTTGACCATTTGTAAGATAAAAGGTGGGGTTTTTCTATCTCTTTATACAGCATTATACACTATATGTGATATGTAAACATGAGAAAAATCTGGGTGTAGGAGTGCTGGATTTCTCATTAGACACCAACTGTATAAGCCAGCAGCATATTTATTAGAATTTATTAAAATATTAACATTTTAATAGCAAGCAGAACTGATCTTAAAATATATGCATATGTAGACCAAATAATAGATTAAAAAACAAAACAAAACCCTGCAAACTACCTCAGTCTCTGGAATCTGCCTTTTCCTAAATTGTTGTCAAACTTTGTGCATGGTTTTCATTAAAAAAGAGAAAGAAAAAAAATGAGTTCTCTTACTCCTTTATTCTAGTTATTTCCAAACCACATCTAACAGTCTCCCAAAATTTTTTTGCACAATTTCTCATTTTGTTTCAAAATTACTTTTGTTGCCTTGAAGTCATTTATTATTGAACTGTACTTGCTGTGTTCCAAACAGCATGTTAATTTAAGTAGAAAAAATATAGTTTTTTGGCAGTCACTTCAAGGTTAAAGCTATTAATATTTTTTTAGTTGGCTGCAAAAGAAATCCTAAGAAATAATTTAAAGAACATGTCACTGTGGCAAAGTCTTGTAAAGAAATCCATTTCATGAAATAAAAGCATGTTTTCCCTATTTGAGGTTTTCAAATTTTTTAAAAAAAAATTCAGACTGCAAAAGCAAATAAAGGAAATAATTCTAAGCCTTAGAAATGATTTACTCAGTAAATGTTTGCTTAATCCTAGGGATGAACCAGGTACTATCCCGGGCACTGGAAATTGTACAGAAGAAACAGGTCCTAATCTTCAAGAAGTCACGAACTGAGAGGATGGGGTTGAAGGGAATAGAGAGTAATTAAGCAAATTATCATAATGTGTTGAAGTTTTCATGGAGAAAGAGATGTTACAATGATACTGTGTTACAAAACATCTTGTAGAGATTTGCACAGGATTCAGAAAGAAGGGAATGGAGCCTAACCAAGGGAGCTTGACCAGATATAGTGTCCCAGAGACAGGGCCAACACTGGAAGAAGGAGAATTCTCCAGAGATTGAGATAAATACTTAAAAGAGAGGGAGCCACATATGTAAAGGTACAGGTGGGTGACAGCATGGCGCATTTGTAGAATATCTACTAAGTAAAGAGAATGACAGATGTTGAAGCTTGAGAAGGAGGCAGAGACCAGATAACCAAAGGTCTTAACTGCCATTCTAAGGAACTTGAATTGATTCTGAAATTATGGAACTGATGAAAGATGGTATATAAGGGAAATTGCTCTGACAATAATGTATGGAGAATGAGTTTAGGAGGTTGAAGACAACTGAGCAGCTGGAGCCTAGAAGTATAGGCTGTTACAGTAACTTGAATGATTGGTGAATGAGGCTCTAAACTCAAGCAGGGGCAGTGGAAGTGAAGAATATGTGACAGATACTAATGTGGTAAAATATGGCATGGTTTTTACAATCAAATAATTGGAAGAGGTGAGTTAAGAAGGAAGGTAGGTTGACTTCCAGGCTTCTTCCTGGTTAACTGGATGGATGATGGTGCCATTCGATGGATGATGGTGCCATTCGCTAAGCAGGAAATACAGGAGTGAACAAGTGTGATTTGGCACACGTTAAGTTGATCGTTCAGATCCAAAAGGGAATTATGAGTCAGTAGACTAGAATTAGGAGTAATTAGAGTGGGTAGTCAAAACCATAGTACGTGAAATTGGTCAGCAGAGTACAGATTAGAATGAGAAACAAAGGGGTCACAGATAAAACTCAGGAAAACAACATATAAGGAGTTGGTGAAAGAAGAGGAATTGAACTAGATGAAAAGGAATGGCTCTACAGCCAGAAGAGTGATGTCACTGAGCCTAAGGAGAAATGAATGTCAGATGGTCAGTAGTGTTAGGTTACAAATCAAGTAAGAAGGAGTAAACTGGAATAGTAACCAGAAGAGTACTGGAGACAACTTCAGTGATTTACGGTGAATGGAAGCCAGATTATTCTAGGTTGTGTTATTACTAGGAAGGCGAGAACTAGTGGGCTGTTTTAGACATGTTTCAAGAAGCTTAAAGGAGGAGAAGAAAAGAGGGCTGTATTTAGAGGGGAGAAAATGATTTCTATGTTAACGGGACAACTGTATACACATGCTGAGGGTGAATTAAAGAAGAGACCATTAGGTGAGACAAATTTTCTGCGATGTTCTAAGGGAATTAGAGTTAGAGCACAGGTGAAGAAATTAACCTTATCTTTGGCTGGAGGGAAAAGCCTCCAGAAAGATGGGAATGCAGATTAAGTTTCTGTTTGATTTTAAGGTGAAGAAATTTCCTCCTGCAGACCTTCTGTAAAGCAGGAGAAAGATGTCATTTTTTAGAGATGTTAATTATAGTAGCAATTTTGGGGTCTTTGGGTGCCTAAAATATGTTAATGAGTTTTGATCTGTGATTTGCAGATGTTCTTAGAAAGTCATGGCTCTGAGTTCATTCTATATTCTTGTGTCAAAACCTCTGCTTTTATCGCTTTTATATGTCTGGCACCTGTGTTACTTTTTTTAAGAAAAAATTTGCTTGTGAATTAGAGTTTAGAAACTGCCTAGGAAGGGGTGGGTGTGCCTGGATGGCTCGGTCGGTTAAGCGTCTGCCTTCAGCTCAGGTCACGATCCCGGAGTCCTGGGATCGAGCCCCACATCAGGCTCCCTGCTCAGTGGGGAGCTTGCTTCTCCCTCTCCTCCCCACTTGTGCTCTCACTCTCTCTCTCTCAAATAAATAAAATCTTAAAAAACAAAAAAACAACTTAGGAAGGGGAAGAAAGAATGCTTTAAGAGTGATAAGCCTGGAGACTGGAAAAAAATGTTCAACAGGTGTGTGGAGGTAGATGGAAAGGCATTCACATCAGATGCATCAGAGGAAAAGTTTGTGCAATGATGAGGAATCATGAGAGGACACGATGTGCTCACTGTACTACTGTAGACAGTATTTTTTAAACTTCATTTTCCAATTCTTTGTTACTAGTACATAGAAATACAACTGATTTTTGTATATTGACCTTATATCCAGTAACCTTGATAAATTCACTTTTTTCCCATAGCTTATTTGTGTATTCTTTTAGATTTTCTGCATATCATCATCTGTCAAAAATGGCTATCATTTTTTCTTTCCTACTTGTAATACCTTTTAAATTCTTTCCTTACATTATAGTACTATATGGCACAAGCCAGTGCAATGTTGAATACAAATAATAACATTCAGTATTTTACCATTTAATGTGTTACCTTTAATTTGTGGTTATCTGTTATCAGAATAAGGACATTCCCTTGAATTCCTAGTGTGCTGTGAGTTTTTATCACAGATGGTAGTATTTGGGGCGCCTGGGTGGCTCAGTCCTTAAGCGTCTGCCTTTGGCTCAGGTCATGATCCCAGGGTCCTGGGATCGAGCCCCGCATTGGGCTCCCTGCTCTGCGGGAAACCTGCTTCTCCCTCTCCCACTCCCCCTGCTTGTGTTCTCTCTCTTGCTGTCTCTCCCACTGTCAAATAAATAAATAAATAAATAAATAAATAAATAAATAAATCTTTTTTTAAAAAAAGGTAGTATTTTGTCATATTCATTTTCTGCATTGGATCAAAATGACCATATTATTTCTCTTCATACTTTATTTTCTAAAGATTTTATTTCTTTATTTGACAGAGACATCGAGAGAAGGAACACAAGCAGGGGGACTGGGAGAGGGAAAAGCAGGCTTCCTGCTGAGCAGGTAGCCCGATGTGGGGCTCTATCCCAGGACCCTGGGATCATGACCTGAGCCGAAGGCAGATGCTTAACGACTGAGCCGCCCAGGCGCCCTTTCTCTTCACACTTGAATAGAGAAGTACATTGACTGAATTTTTATGTTAACCAACGTCATATTCCTGAAATAAATCCTACTTCGTCATAATATATCATCATATATGTGTATGTGTGTGTAAGATCAGGTTTCTTCCTTAATAAGTAGAAGTCTGAAGAATCGACCAAGACTGTATTCTAAGAATTCAGAGCAGAATTTTTATCATTCAGATCTGAAGAATGGATGGAATCATAATACCTGGAGAGGAAAGAAAAGGCAAGGACAAGTGTCCTATAGGAACAAAAGACTCAGAGGGAGAGTGAATACAGCATCTGTAGGGGCCAGCAGGGAAACTAGCCTTGCTGGTGTAGAGGGCTCCTGATAGGACAAAAGAAAAAATAATACTGGAAATGAAAGCTAGAATTAGGCTATCAGAGACCCTGAGTGCTGTCTGAGACTATAATAGCTGGGGTATGATCCTTTAGATATTAAATCACTATATCTGAGGAGCAAATGGTCAATTTGAAGACTATGTTGTCTGATGGGACTGAAGGATGATTTAGTAATTTCTGGCTTGTGAAACTGGCTGAAAGACAGGTTCTTGAGAGTAGGCGTTGGGAGGGTCTGTGAAAAATGTTCTCAGTGAGTAGTACAAAGAGAACAGAGGGTAGCTCCATTCTTGGTGCCTGACAATTGTCCTGGTCTTTTGTCAAATGCCACAGATGATAAAACTCTTAAAGCTGACCCTGTGACATTTTTCAAAATCAAGGAAGGTACAGTTATACTTTCAAAATCAGAAGATACAATCCAGTTAGTATTGTAGGCCAGTATGTTTCAGGTTATAAAATCAAGTGTTTCAGGTATACATTTTCTAAGAGCTCTAAGAAAAAGTTTTTCATTTTGAGAGATAACTTCCTATTGGAAGACGGGACAAAGAGTCAAGAGACCTGCATATTTGTCTGTCCCCATTCTGCTTCAAGTTATATAGTCTCCGGCCTTTTCAACTCTACAAAGTCCACTGTGTTGTTTCATCTACTGCATCTACTTTCATTATGGTTCCTAATGGTGTAGATCAACTCAAAATTTTATATTTCTATCTTATGCATTTTTGTGTCAAAATGTTGAGATGAGCACAAAAGGAACAACAAAGAAATCCTATTTTCATCAATCAAATTGTTAGTAATACTATTAGCACATATTGTTGGATAAAATAATTAAATTATACATTATGAACTAAAAATTTCAACCTAAAAATGAATTGTTGTAGGAAGATGGAGTAGACAGATTTCCCTGGTTTCCCCACTAAGTACACCTAAAAACTCATAAAAAGACTGAAAAGTGGAGAGAAGACATGTCAGGTACGAACCTCAGGAAAAGAGGAGTAATGTGATTGTG